ACTGAGCCATCTCACCAGCCCCTATTGTATTATTATTATTATTATTATTATTATTATTATTATTATTATTATTTTTCAGAACTGGGGATTTAACTCAGGCCCTTGCACTTGCCAGGCAAATGCTTATTCTACTGAGCTATCTCCCCAGCCCCTAATTTTCTTGAATAAAATTAGATCCTGTACAGATTGACCCAGGGCCCTTTCAGAATGGTTGCTTCCTTCCTCCATGCGGGAGCCTCAGTACTGGGTCCCCACCCCAACCCACACGCAGCCTTCAGACTGAAAGCACCAGTTTCACCGCAGAATGAGCCGGCTGTTCCACAGAGGTAAATGGCAGTTAATAGTTAACCTAAGGCTTATCTCTTGGCAGCTGTGAATCAAGAGCAGGTCCGTTTAGGAAAATAACAGGATACCCAGGCCTGCTTTCCGAAGCTTCCAACTAGAGAAGCTTTATCTCAGCTTTTCGTGGGGTTAGTCAATAAGCTCTGATCTCGTGTTCCTGGTGGAAACCTGGGTCTTCCCTCAGCTCACTTCATTGTTTATTTAGCTCAGTCATTTTTTGAGACAGGATCTTCCCACTTGGATCAGGCTAGTCTTGAACTCACTATGTAGCCCAGGCTGGCCTGGCACTCACGGCAATCCTCCTGCTTCAGTCTTCTGAGTGCTGGGATTACAGGCAGGCTCCACCGCACCTAGAAACTTTGTTATATAACAAACAACCTTAGCCTTAGGAGGCCACCTGCCTGTGTTGTTTAAATCCAGGTGTGGTTCTCTGTTCCTACAGAGTGCCCCCTCCCCAGTGCTTCCAGGAACGGATGTAATCCATGGAGGTGGATCATAAGTAACCATCCATCGTAAATTGTGTTCCTGGGACATATCAGGGCCTTGAGGTGTTTGCCAGCTTCACAAGACGACCCCCGCATGACAAGGCCCACTGCGCCAATCGCCCCTGCCACTCACCCCCACCCACCCCAATCACCAGCACCGGTTATACACATACCGCACAAATGAAACAGGTGTCATGCCAGGTATGCCCCAGGGCTTCGATGAACTTGTCCCCTGCCTCCACGGGGAAATCACAGCCATGGCACTTGGTGCTGAACAGGTTGACGTAGTCTGAAATGAAAGGCAGAGTGAGGACCAGTGTGTGGGCCGGCAGGGACCAAAGTGATCCACAGCCGGGACAAGCTCTCAGTGTGCTGGCAGGCGTGGGACGCATTTGCAGGCAGAATGCTCAGTTGTGTAACTGGTTCTTTTTTCCAGCCTTTTCCATAATTTGCACTGATGCCTGCACAGACTTGGGCTGAGTTGCCACCATGTGCTGGTTGGGACTGTGGACACTTTCCATGTAGATGGCCACCAACTTTTAGCAGGGTGACTGTCCCCTCTGCTTCTGAGCCCAGACACATCAATTACCAAACAGGAAAATGGCAGCACTCTGGAGGCTGAGGCAGAAGGATTGCCATGAGTTCAGGGCCAGCCTGCACTGATAGTGACTTCAAGTCCAGTCTGAACTACACAGCAAGACCCTGTTTCAAAATACCAAAAGCAAAACAATCCCCATTTTTCCAACAGCAATGCTTGCATGGGAGGGCAAGTTTCCTTAGATTAAGAGTTCTAGAAAGTTCTTTGCCAGCCATTCTTCTGTCATAGGCATTTGTGTTGCCAACTGCTTTCCAGGGCCACATTTGTGCTCCTTTATCGGGCACCCCACCCCCAACAAAGGAGACAATACTACTAAATACTGTCTGCATAGCACTTTGCACTTCACTAAGCATTTTCTCATGGATGGTGCAGGGTTTAAATATGTCCCCCAGTTCTTGGGTTGTGAAGTTAACTCCCAAGGCAAGAGTGGTGGGATGTGGACCTCAGAAGTGTGAAGCTTGGATAGCTCTGCTCTCATGACTAGTTTGAGTCAGTATTTAAGGAGTGGGTCCTTCTTGGTAGGAGTGTGCTCTTTTTTCTTTCTTTTTTTTTTGCAGAACCGGGGATTGAACTCAGGTCCTTGCACTTGCCAGGGAAGCACTTATTCCACTCAGCCATCTCCCCTGGGTTTGGGTTTTTGAGACAGGGTCTCACTATGTAGCTCAGCCTGGCCTTGAACTTGCATCTATCTTGCTGCCTCAGCTTCTTGAATGCTGGGATTACAAGCATGTGCTGCCATATCTGGCTAAGAGTCGGTGTCTCATAAAAGTGACTTTGGCCCCTCTCAAACTCTTTTTTTTTTAGCAGAACCTGGGATTAAATTCAGGCCCTTGCGCTTGCCAGGCAAGCGCTTATTCTATTGAGCCATCTCCCTGGCCCCTCAAACTTTCTAAATTCTGTGGGGATGATGCAGTAAGAAGGCCTTGACCCGGTGTAGCCTCTTGATCTTGGACTTCTGAGCCCTGAGCTAAATCACTGTTTGTTCACTGTCACTCACAGGGCCTCGGGTGTTCTTTTTTGTTTCTTTGTTTTTAGCAGAACTGGGATTGAACTCAGGCCCTTGCGCTTGCCAGGCAAGTGCTTATTCTACTGAGCCATCTCCCCAGCCGGGTTTCCTTTCACCCATCCATCCATCCTTCCTTCTTTCCTTCCTTCCTTCCTTCCTTCCTTCCTTCCTTCCTTCCTTCCTTCCTTCCCTTCCACCGCCCATTTTCAGCCTTCCATCCCAATATCATCATTCATTACGTATCCATCAGTCACCCATCTTGGGGCTGGTGAGATGACTCAGTGGTCTAAAGCACCTACTTTGTACAAGCTAAGCTAAGCAAAGCACAGGGACCGCGGTTCAATCCCCCAGCATGCACCACATGCCAGCCAGCCCCGCCCCCTAGTGGGCTGAGCTGGCCACACACACACACAAAATAAATAAATAAATAAATAAAATCACCCATCTATCCTTCCTTCCATCCATTCATCCATACCACCATCTATCACCAATCACCAACTCATTCTCCCTTCATGTCTATCCATCACCTGTCCATCCATCCATCCATCCATCCATCCATCCATCATTCTTGAATGCCCATGTACACACCAGCATAGCCCTTGATGATGGTTTGTGTGAGGGTTTTGAGGGCAGAGACCATGATGCCTGCCTCTATGCTCAGTGCTTCCCATGGGACCCAGCATGGAACACATACTCAATACACATTTGATATACAAATGATGGCAGAAAACCATGAAGTGGCTACATCTCTTTACTAGGTACTGACTCCTTCTCATGTGAAGTTTGCATAGATTTAGCTCTTACAGAGGCTTCAAGCTATTTCTAAAATATCTTTTCCTGCCTATTCCTTGACTTTTCCATTTTACACTTGATTTTGTACTGACTGGGAAAACTGCCACTTTAAGCTTGGCAGCACAACTCTGACCTTGTCACATTTTGTGAGAGTTGGTATCTATCTTCATTTACTCTGGAAAGTGAAGGTTGTGGCCCTGAATTGAGTCTGCACATGCCAGAGCCTTCCCAACAGAAGCACCATCCAGCTCTTTATTTATTTATTTCTTCATCTATTCCTCTTTTGGGCCTTCATAATTTTCTTCAACCCTAACTTGCTTATGTCCCAGGTGGAGTTACACCCTTGCATTTAATGGGTTTTATTGCTACTGTAAAAGGATTTCCATCCATCGAAGCACAGGTGCTCCATGTTGAAAAAGGGCTTAGTGCAGTGCTTCTCAAACATCAGGATTACATGGGGGTGGGGGGTTGTTAAAACACAGATCACCAAACTCTGCCCCCGAGTTTCTGATTCACAGGGGTGGGCTGGGACCCAAACGAGTGCTTTCCTAACATGATCTCATGCTGTGTTGATGCTGCCAGTCCTGCGGCTGCACTTTTAGAACAAGCTCTAATTCTCACACCTGAGTATCGAAGTCAAGGGGCTGGGGCAGCGCCCCATGAGATTCAGCTCCTGTGCTCTGGAATTCATCTTCTCTCTCATTGTAAAGCTCCCTGGGTAACTGTGAAGGCTTCCAGGCATGGTGACTGCTCAGGTACAGGCCAGAAACCTCAGGGCTGACCTTCCCATCTGTCTTACTTGTATCTTAGATAAAAGTGGCCCCAGATTCTCTCAGTCACCTGAGAAATTTTTGAGGTTAAGTTCCATTATTTTGGCTGAAAGAGATTTGACAGAGTTCTCATCTGTGTCTTCCTCTAGTTTGGAGATTATAAAGGCATCGCAGTGAGATATCACTGGGCCGGGGAGATAGCTCAGTGGCTCAGTGGAATAAGCATTTGCCTGGCAAGTGCAAGGACCTGAGTTCAATCCCTGGTTCTGCCAAAAAAAAAAAAAAAAAAGAGATATCACTTCACACCATTTAGGGCAGCTGCTGTCTAAACCACAGAAGGTGACATGTGTGGACATGGAGTATGTAGAATGCTTCCACCCTGCTAGGGTTTTCCTGGGGGAACCACTATAGAAAGCTGTGTGGAAGTGCCCCAGAAATCAACAGCATGATTTCCATATGATCCAGGAATCCCATTTGTAGATATATTTCCACAATAATTGAAGATAAAGTCTTATAAAGTATTGACATTTGTAGACACACTATTTACACTAGGCAAGGGGCAGAACCCAAGTGTTCATACATACAGATAAATGAACCAAATGGAATAGATTTTTTTTTTTTTTTTT